AAGACCTCAAGGATATCTTGTGTGGTATGTTACTTCTGGTCCTTTTTCCAACTCCACTGTAATATTCCAGTCGTTATCTTTTCCTTTTAAATGATTCTTCTGTTTTGTTTCTAGTGTTTGTATGGAGGAGCTCCAAAGGGTCCACAGTTGAGAGATATTGACCGAGGAGCCGATGTTGTGGTTGCCACTCCTGGCCGCTTGAATGATATTCTTGAAATGAAGAGAATCAGCCTCCATCAAGTTTCGTACTTAGTGTTGGATGAGGCTGACCGTATGCTGGACATGGGTTTTGAACCTCAAATAAGGAAGATCGTGAATGAGGTACCTGCTCGCCGCCAGACCCTCATGTATACAGCAACTTGGCCGAAGGAGGTTCGCAAGATTGCAGCAGATCTGCTGGTCAATCCTGTTCAGGTTAACATTGGCAATGTCGATGAACTGGTTGCGAATAAATCCATCACACAGGTATTATACTCTATCTGTGCTGGCCGTACTAAAGTCTATAGCTATTAGTTGACTTATCAATACATGTTTTCTTACTTGTTAGAATATCACTCTAGGTGATCAGAATGATCACTTAAATGTTCTATTTAAAAAGAAAAATTCTTTTCCATATTTGATCCCCAGCACCAATTGAGGAATGAATAATGAGTTTGTGTTTTATGTAGTCTTGAAATATTGTCTTACAGCTTTACCAAAAAAATATTGTGTATTACAGTATATTGAAGTACTCGCCCCAATGGAGAAACACAGGCGACTGGAGCAAATATTGCGATCTCAAGAGCCAGGATCCAAAATAATAATCTTTTGTTCAACCAAGAAGATGTGCGATCAACTTTCTCGCAACCTAACCCGCCAGTTTGGAGCTGCTGCAATTCATGGTGACAAATCTCAGAGTGAGAGGGACTACGTGTTGAATCAATTTCGCTCTGGGAGGACTCCAATTCTTGTAGCAACTGATGTTGCAGCTCGAGGATTGGACATCAAGGACATAAGGTTTCGCACTGCCCAGCTTATAGTCATATATCTATACTTGTGTTAGAATCGTGGATCTGTGGATAGTTGTCTGGCCAAACAATTATTTCAGATAATCTGGTGCTTCTACCATGCATTCCGTACCTGCTTAAGATTTGTATAAAATTGGTGGTTAAGATTGCAGTGTTCTTTTTGTTACAGGGTGGTTATCAACTACGACTTCCCCACTGGAGTGGAGGATTATGTTCACAGAATTGGGAGAACTGGAAGAGCTGGTGCCACTGGGCTGGCTTACACATTCTTCGGTGATCAGGATTCAAAGTATGCATCAGATCTCATCAAAGTTTTGGAAGGGGCAAATCAGCGTGTCCCCCCAGAAATTCGTGAGATGGCTACCCGTGGTGGTGGTGGGATGAACAGGTTCAGACGTTGGGGTTCTGGGTCTGGTGGCCGTGATGGGGGTCGTGGTGGACGAAATGATTCAAGTTATGGTGGAAGGGATGGTGGGAGGGGAGGCGGATGGGGATTTACTCCCTCTTCTGGCAGGTACGGGACTATTTTTATTGATGCTTTTATTTTATGTGTATTATTGTGGATCTGATTGTTTCCCAAAGTGGATTGAATTATTCGGCTGAACTTTTTGCTTTGGTTGTAAATAATATGATATAATCTTTGCATGAAAGAGTTGTGGAACTTTTAGGCACAGAAACAAGTACAAAATTAAAGTTTCAATAATCAATACTATTCAGGCTGGTTTATAATATGGAATTAAACTTTGATGTCTTGTGGTGTCAAATGTGCTTTGAGGAGTGACGGTTGGAATGCATTTTGTTGTATGGGACAGGTATGACCGTGGTCACAACAATGGGTATGATAGAGGCCGAAGCCCTGACAAGGGGTCAGGACATAGAGGTTCTAACCGCAGCCGTAGTCGTAGTCTTGAGAGGTTCGACAAGGCTCTGCCTACAGGTGGAGGCTCTGCAGGGTGGAGTTTTCATAAAGCAATGATGGAACGTGAACGGTCATCGCCGCCACCTCCACGCTCACTCCCGTATGGTGGTGGGGTGGATGAAGCTGAGGAAGGTATGATACCTCAAGAAGAGGAGGGTGGGTATCATATTGCAAATGCGTAACTTCAGCTATCCTATAGGGGGGGGAACATATGCTCTGCTGCTGGCTGTCCTTTTTTTGGTGTTTCGGCAGTGTTCTGTAGGGGCAAGCTTTACAAAGCGCAACCAGGATGTGACAGTTTGACTTTTGACTTTTGATTTTTGATTTTTGATTTTGAGGTGGGCTAAAAACTCTTGATGTTAAACCTCTTCATCCCTTGCTGAACGAACCTCTTGTCTCCTGGTCTCCATTTTTGTTTGTGTTAATTTTTGGGTAGAAAAGAAAGGGCACAAAAGAAGATGTAGCACTTGTTAGCTAAATATTTATAAATGTAATCAAGGTGTAGTTCTATGAAATGCAGTTTTATATAGTAATTATTTATCAGCAAGTTTATGATATCTGATTCTGATCCATTATTGTTTGTTGTGGTTGATGGGGTTTGTTCCATCACTTCTCAGCCGTAGGATACTAGATATTGATTGCCACGTGGACAGCAGTTATAAAGTCCGTGGCCAAGTAGCAGCCTGCAATGGGTTGGGTTGGGTTGGGATGGGCTCGTCCGGTTTGATTAAGATTTCTAAGTCTCAAATCTTCAACTAAACTGGGCTCATGCAAACCAAGCCATGTATTAAATATTTCGTCTTTTGCTAATTATTTTTTCTTAATAAATGATAAACAAATACAACAAGCTTCGAGGTTGTTCATTAAATTTTGAAGTCCAATAAAATTGTAACTAAAATGTTTGTTAAATTTCAGGTGGAAGGTAAAATATTGCTTTATCTATTTCAGCGGTTAAAGAGACAAAAGGTACTGAATCTAGGGCCTCTTGTTTGTCATCAATTAACCACAGCGAAAATAAAGCTAATGTATTTTGACTTTTTTTAATATAATTATTATTATTGATTAAGCCTTTTACTGAAAGTAAAGCACATTAAAACTAATATTCAATTTTGCAGCGCTTTCCCTAAATTCAATCCTACATGTGGAGAAACACTCATATGAAACGAGGATAACACTATTTTACTATCATCGGCCAATCACGTTATGCCACTCACGTTATGTCATGCGTGATAATTTTTTCATGTGGCAGTATGTGATTAATTGGAGATAGCAAAATAGTGTTGTCCCTGTTCCATACAAGTTCTTCTGGTACATGTGACTCTAACTCACTACCTAGTATTTTAGAAGAGTGGAGTGGAAATAGTCAAATAGATTAAGCCAAAAAACAAAACAAAATTAATTAAAATAGTCAAATTCAGATTTATTTTGCTAGAGTAATTAGCTTTAACCATGTGGGCATATTGCGCTGTAACTGAACAAAATTTAAAATCCAAAGCAAAATTTGGCAAGACCTTAATTATTATTATGAAAATAAATAGATATCCATTCAATTAGATGCCAATTTAGGATGCATTAAAAGTTCAGTTACAGAAAAGATGCATTTCCTTAATTGGACAAATACACCTCATAGGTCATGCATGGCTTGAGTTGAGACAAATCCAATCCAGGTTTTAACCTCCTTTCCAAAAATGGACAAAATATATGGTTACAAAACCCATCTGCATAATTACTTCATTGCCCTAATCCTTCATTTTGAAGGCCCCTTTTTTTTTTTTCTATTCTATTTTTTAAATTATAAATTTATTATCAAAAAAAGGGTAAGTAGGATTTGGAGGTTTGTAATTATGAGATTCAGTACTTGAACCTTACAACATGCATCACACTTTCCATTAAAGATAAAAAACTATGTTTAACCAAGGCAAAGAGAAAAATATAACAATAGTTAAAATTGATATTTCCTTGTAATTTACATTTTTGGCAGGCCTTATTCATGCACGCATAATTAATAACTGGGACTTACCTGACTTGGACTGGTAGATAAGTTTGACTGAGATAAAATTTGATAACCTTGAAAAAAAAAAATCATTTCATAGTAAAATAATAAGAATAATAAATTTTTATTTAATTTATTTTTTCTACAAGTGATAGTCTAAACTAGAGAGTTTTAGGATTTTTCACATACACACAACTATGATGCCGTGTGGATTCGAACATGAGACCCCAGGTATGCTAGTCAATGCTCTTTATCTTAGGTATGTACGTAACTGGGCTAGACTATGTTGATCAAAATAATTATATTCAAATGAATTTAATTAATAGGTTTTTTTTCCTCAATGAAATTGAGAGTTTTTTCTGCTGCAAATGAAATTGAGAGTTGTTATTTCCTAGCTAGCTTGACTCTTTTCATAATTAAAGCTAAAATTATTTTAAAAGGAGCTGTAAATTTGTTTTTTCCTAGTTGGAAATGCAAAGAAATAATGTGAGGTCCATCTCGGGCAAAGTGCATCCAATCCACCGTTGGCTGTCATTTTATTAAAGAAAAACACACACTGAAGCGCTGCGTTTCATGAAGAAAATACAATACAAGGGTAATGTCACGCCATAAAACATAGGGGGCCCTAAAACATAACGAAGGGCGGTACATGTCTGCCACGTGTCGCGAAACCCTGTCTGAGAATTTTCCTAACGACCTAATGATTATTTTGCATATGTTTTTTGTTGTTGTAAAAATATTTTTATTTTAGTTTTTGCTTCGAAAATTAGAGAAAAAGCAATGTTAAAGAAGCTGAACAGTCACTGAAGGGAAGAAACATGAGCCCTTGGATGGCTAGATTGGGCCCTACATTTACCTTGCTCTCAGACTCAGACCTCACTCATAAAAAACTACATAGAGGAGAACGCACCCCCCATTTACAGCACAACATTAAACCAGCCTTCCTTTCTTGAGCTTTTGTTTCTCTTTAGACTCTCTCTCTCTCTCTCTCTCTCTCCACTGCATGGAGTTGGAAACAAACTTGAAAGAATTAGATAATTTTCCTTTCCTTTCAATCCTTTTCTCTGATTCTTCAACCCCTATGAAATTGAAACCAGAGCATCCTTCCAACACCAACAATGGGATTAATTCCCTACGCCCACAACTCTCTTCTTCTTCCCCACCACCACCCAATTACAAGCCTTTGTTTTCTTCCCTGGTTCCTCATTTTGATCCTCATCATCAGCATCTTCATCTTCATCATCACCATCATCATCAACCCCTTCATGGGTCCCATTTGAATCTGAATTCTCATTCTCATGATGACTTCAAAACCAGTTCTGATCATATCAATCATTTCTCTACCATTGAGGGGTCTTCATCAAACCCCTTCAGTGGGATTTATTACAACACAAATCCTCATGATTTTGTGGCTGTTCCTCTAGCACCTGATGGTATCGGCTTCCATGGTGCTCGGGGGGCCTATTGGGGTGCTCATCATCATCATCATCATCATCATCATCATCTGGATGGTCAGGAAATTCCAGATGACCAGGCGCAGATGGGCCCACAAAGCTGCATACAACTTCCGCCGTTGATCAATTTTGGAGAATTCGGATCATCATCGGCTATGGACATAAGTTTGCCTTCAGATGAGGTCACATGCAATAGCAGCAGCAGCACAGAGACTGAGTTTTGCAAGAGACTCTCAGCTGATGATCAGAAGAAGACCAAGAGTTTGTGTATGAGAAGACCCACCAGTAGTAAGGCACTGCAAAAGAAACCCACCATCATCAAAGGCCAATGGACCCCCCAAGAAGACAGGTAGAGATTTATTTTTTCTTGCTCTATCTGAATTTGTAATTTTGTACGATATAGCTAGGTTGATCGGTATTGAATTTTTTAATTTTGATGTTTCTGTAATTCTATGTGATGAATGGTAATGCAATTAAATCTCTATTTGCAGACTTTTGGTGCAATTGGTTGGGAGGTTTGGCATTAAGAAGTGGTCTCAAATTGCTAAGATGCTGACTGGGAGAGTGGGAAAGCAATGTAGAGAAAGATGGCACAACCATCTGCGGCCTGACATTAGGGTTTATATCCCTTTCCCCTTAATTCTTCACTATATATCCAACTCCATTAACATAACTAGATGCAAGCATACCTCTAGCTTATTTCTTAATTTCACTATATAGACCCTTTTATTTTCATTAAAATTTTGTTTTAATAGGCCCTATTGAGTAATCACTATATTTGATTACTATATTGCGCGAGCGGAGATTTGAACTTAATATCTCTTTCACTATTAGACTAATCTAATAGCTGACATTCGCAAGTTCTCAATTTAGGTCCTTCGTTGGGTTCATAATTATATTAATGTATATAGACACATATATGCATATAGTTACATACATATATGGTTTCGCGCATATTTGGTTATATATTTATTAGAAATTATGATAAATTTACTTTTTTGACGCATGTCGTGAATATACACTCTTTACATTGTCTTATTTTGTCATTGTCATTTCTCCATTTACATATTTTGTAAAGCATATTGACAAAGCACTATCCGATTTAGGACAGAGGCACATATAGGCCTGAGATGGTTGTGGCCCCCTAAAGTCCCAAAACTCCTTTGAAGTTTTATATAAACCTGAAAATCTGTGTGTAATTAAGTTCATTTCCCCCCCGCCCACCATGTAGAGTCTAGCTCCGCCCCAAGGTCCGATTTGTCGATATCTGCTTGCCAATGCATGAGCTTGCGTTTCGACCAGTGCTAGGTTGGATCACATGATTTTAATTAGACAGTAATAATTAAGCATAATATAGATATATGATGAATTTTCAAAACTACCCTTGTCAGGGTTGATTCATGAGTATAAAATAATCCGAATCCGAATTCATTTAAATTTGGATGACTAAAAATGTCAAATTATCATCCATAAGCATAGAATTTATTACCAAAGTTGGGTTAAAGTCAAATTTATTTAGAGAACCAAAATTATGTAGTTAATATGAGATTCGGTGTTGTTCTTTTCTCGTATATATTTTCAATTTTTGTATATAGATGAGTAAAATAATTTTGTTATATAAAGTTTGATTACATGTAAAAACTTAATTTTCTTTTTCATTTCTTTATTACTATACTTATTGTCATGGTCGAGTTAGTATATATTGATTGATTTTTTTTTTACTAAAGCCCGTTTGATAACCATTTCAATTTTAGTTTTTCATTTTCATTTTTTGTGCTAGAGTATAGAGGAAAATGAGAGGGAAAATTGAAGTGAGAATGAAATTGAGAGGGAATCACCAACCTCACAACCTTATAGTCATTTTCGCCACGATCAAATCCTAACCTGAGAGCAACGACATAGGTTTTATCTTGAGATTGAGAGAGGATGAGAGGGGAGGATGGGAGGGATGAGTAACAAAAGTGAAAACAAAAACTTGAAAGTGAAAACAATTTCAAATAGATTTCAGTTTTTAAATTTTATTTTCACTTTTGCTACTCCTCCCTCCCATCTTCCCTTTCAATCTCATCTCCACTCTCATTCTCACTTCCATTTTCCCTCTTTCTCCTCTATATTCTAGCAAAAAAATGAAAACTAAAAACTAAAAATTAAAATTGAAGTTATCAAACGGGCCCTAAGTTAACAAATTATTGAATTGGACTAACTAAAACAGAATTGACCCTTTTTCATCTCTACTTCGCTGCTTTTGAGGTTATTGAACTATAAGGTGACACTTTCATCATGAGTACTTGACCTAATTAAAAATGGATGCATATAGATATAAAACCCTAGGACGATGAAATACGTGCATTGTTTTCTACTGAACAGGTCAAACTATGCATGATCAAATGAGCTTTTGAGTTTTATATATATGGTGATCGCATGTATACTTACTGCGTGCATGCAAATTTGCAGAAAGATATGTGGAGCGAAGAAGAAGACAAAATACTCATCGAAGCCCATAAGCAAATCGGTAACAAATGGGCGGAAATTGCGAAGAGGCTGCCGGGGAGGACCGAAAACACAATCAAGAATCATTGGAACGCAACAAAGAGAAAGCAAAACTCAAAGAAGAAAACCAACAAAGACCCCAACAACAACATTAATTCCCCCGAGAGCTCTCTCTTGCAGGACTACATCAGGAGCGTTTTCTCTTCTTCTTCTTCTTCTTCTTCTTCGACTTCTTCAGCTTCAACCGAAACAACCGAGCAGAGAAACGCTCTCTCATCCGATCACTCCAGGGGCTTTCACTTCAACCAAAACAATGCCGAGAGTTTAAACTGGGCCCTGACATCTTATCATCCTGATCATATCAGTAATGAGACGTCCAATAATATGTACAGTCAGATGGGTTCTGTTTCTAATTTGTTCAATTTTGAAAGTTATGGGTTTGGTGGATCTTTCTTGGTTGACCAGGTAACCGGGGTTGAGGAATATCGGGGCAGCAGCATGGAGGCTGAGATGCCGTTGGCGTTGGAGATTAAGAGCCTGATGCAAGGGCCTGATGATGACCATGTCAAAAAGGAGATGGATTTGCTCGAGATGATTTGCCAGGGAAAGCTTTAGGCTAAAGCTTTTCGTGTTGTGTATGGGTGTGCCTAGCGATTTCCAATATCCTCAGGTACATGGGTGGTGTTGAATAAGAATGCCATGGCTAGAGGGACAAAGAAGAAGAAGAGAATCACATCATTGTTTGTGTTTCTGTATGTTCAGGTTGTTGTGTTTAGATTAAGCGTACTTCAGACTTTGTATTTTCAGCTTTTTATATGGATAGTTTGGAACAATTTCAGCTTTAATTAATATAGTTTTATATATCTGTTTGTCCAAATTTAGTATTATCTATCTATATATATAAAGCAAAAGGCAGAGAATGGTGAAACATTCAAAATACCATAAAATACCATTGGTTAATTCAAACATTAAGAATTGAAATTATTAATTAAAGGAGGATAATATGGTAAATTCACATTTTTTTCATATTAAAAAAATAAAAATAAAAACAAAATCAGATAATAGGTCCTACTTTTATGGAACATGACTACCAATGTTATCTTTTCTTAATTCTAAAAATAAAATAAAAAAGAAAAAAGAAAACCAATTGGCACATGTGTGACACATGTGCCAAGGGGCTAGTATATATAAAGGAAAAGGCAGAGAATGGTGAGACATTCAAAATACCAAAAAATACCATTGGTTAATGCAAACATTAAGAATTGAAATTATTAATTAAATTAGGATAATATGGTAAATTCACACATTTTCATATATAAAAAAATTAAAATGAAAAGAAAAATCAAATAATGGATCCTATTTTTATGGAACACAACTACCCATTATCTTTTTTAATTCTAAGATAAATTAAAATTTTTTTTAAAAAAAAGCCTCTCACAGGCGCGGAGAGGCTAGTTTATATTTATATCTATACTATATAAAGGAGCTATAGGTTTTATATATACTAGCCTTTCCACACGCAATTATGAGTGACTTTTTTTTTAAAAAAAATTTAAATTTATTTTAGAATTAAAAAAGATAATGGGTAGTTATGTTCCATAAAAATATGATCTATTATCTGATTTTTCTTTTAATTTTAATTTTTTTAAATATGAAAAAGTGTGAATTTACCATATTATCCTCATTTAATGAATAATTTCAATTTTTAATGTTTGCATTAATCAAGGACATTTTCTGGTATTTTGAATGTTTTACCATTCTCTGTCTTTTGCTTTATATATATAGATTAGCTAGAAATTATATTCTTTCTGATCGATTTTTGCAGTCCATAAGTAAAATGCCAAGCATATCACATTTTTATATCACATTGTGTACCACTTTTCTAATAGATATGGGGAGGCTTGCGTAATATCGTAAGCAGTGTATTAAATAAGGAAATGCGTTGAGTTTAATGTTTCAGAGGCATGTTGGGCATAGTCAATTTAGAAACCCTTGTGGGCCTCGCTAGACGTTTTGGTGCAAAGTGCTCTGTATGGCCCATATGGAAAATTCATCTGCATCTGTGGGTTTTACTTTTATAGGAAAGAATTATAAAGCATGTCATTCTTTAGCACTCCACTATAATTAAGGTCCCATGGCCATTTCCAGAGAAAATGAATGCCATTTGATGCTAACACCAAAATGGCATCACCTCCATTTGTGTAGACCAGCCTTGATGTAATGAAAAGCTACCAAAACAATTTAATGGCGAAATCGGAAACTCAAATGTTGGATATTCCCATGCTTATATGCTCCTAGTGCATAGGCAGAGAAAAACTATAAATCAGTCTCGGAATTGAGAGACCTCATATTGAATTATTTATTTTTCTTTTTCTGAAAGATAGAGTACCTTCAGACAGAATTGCAATTACGAAACTTAAATATAGTATACCGCGCGGCTATACTATTTATTTATAAAAAAATAAAAAAAATAAAAAAGTCTATTTATTTATAAATAAATAAAAATAAATAAATAAAGGAACCACCTAGGCGGCTGATTTTTCGAAAACTTGAATGGCGCTTTTTTTTTCCAGATTTCTTTTCTCCTAGCGGGTCTATTGCAATTATGAAACTTAAATATAGTATAGCCGCGCTATACTATTTATTTAATAATAATAAAACAAGGAACTGCCTAGCCCGCCTAGGCGGCCGATTTTTGGAAAACTTGAATGTCGTTTTTTTTGCAGATTTCTTTTTTCTTGGCGGGTCTGGCATCTCTGCAAATACATCAAACTAGGGTTTTAGCGACTCATATTTATCAACAACATAAAGGCATCTGTGAAAATCAGCAACGTGCCACGCCTGAAACCTTGGATATTGGCAGAGGTGGGGTTGGGCCGTTCATAACTAGTGTCTTGTGGGGGGAAGGGATTGGGTGAATGTAGTGTTATTAATGTTGTCTATGCCACAATGCAGGCTGCATCCCTCAAAGAAAAGATTAACCGAATGTTTGGTGGAGAGCATGGCCCATAAAGAGTGGCAGTATTCGGTTTCTGAAAAATATTTGTGGCATATAATTTTTTTATTATTATCAGAGCATCGATGATTCGGGTCTAAGGGTATTCTAATAATTTGTTTTCCTCTGTATGCAGTCTTGCAAACCAAGGGCGGAACTAGAAATTTTTCATTGGGTGGGCTAGCTAAAGTTATTAGCTTAAAATTTAATGATTATTTTTTTTGGTACTTACAATTTCTATAGTCTTTGTAGAAATAAAAGTAAACATTAAATTATATAAACCACGTTAGTTCATAGCTCCATAAACTAATTTTCAATAAGTTTTAACATAAACCAAATAGGGTTTAACACCATAGTGGATTGAACATCTAAGGCTTTTTACCTAGATTGACCTTAGTTTCTTCATGCATTCATATCATACATGAAAAATTATTTTATGTTAAAATATTGACTAAGTATGAAAAATGGGTTTTTGAAATAATCATTTTCTGAAGATAATTTTTGGCGGCTTTTATTCCTCACAATTGACGGCTTTTATTAAGTGCATTGAAGCTAAAACTGCAAGATATGACTTTCCCCCAATTGACGATTGGCGAGGCCGCACTTTGTTTTTTTATAAATCCGCACCCCTTTCCCGGGCTCTTCAACTTCACTGAATTTGTGGATACCTGCATGGCCGTCTTTGCGCACACTGCAATGGGTGCTGCAAAGTTTGTCAATCTGTCCGGTGCCTAAATTGGTGCTCTTCAATTTTCAGGTGGTAATTTTATAGTTTGTTTTAGTAGCGTAATATGTATTAATGAGCAGTGTATAATACCATACTATTTTGTCTTTGCAGGTTGAGTATTTTCTTCTTTCCTCGGCTTTTCTCACTTTATCACACTCGACGAAACGGAGAGCAAAAGAAACTTGACTTTAGCAAACTAACGAAATTCTCATATTTTGAATGACTAGAACCTTTCCGTTTATGACTTCAATTATAACTATTCAACTATTTGTTGATTTCATCATTTTCTTCGACTATTCAACAGGCAGATAACAGGCCTTGTAAAAGTTCTTCGAATTTCTCTTATTGGTCCGACTTGTAACTTTACTTTTCTTTTTCTTTTTTCTCTCTCATATGATTTGCCTCTCCATAGCTGAGCTCTGTGGAGATCCCAGCAAAGGAGATAGAAGCGGGGGAGATCCCAGATGAGTAGTTACTAGAGGAGGAGGAGGAGTTACCGGAGGAAGATGATGAGTTACCGAAGGAGGAGAAGTAGTTACTGAAGGAGGATGATGAGTTATCGAATGAGGATGAGTAGTTACTAGATGAGGAGGAGTAGTTACCGGAGGAGGAGGAGGAGTAGTAGTTGCCGGAGGAGGAGGTTGAGTTACCAAATGAGGAGGAATAGTTACCAGAGGAGGATGAAGAGTTATCGAAGGAGGAGAAGTAGTTACCGGAGAAGGAGGATGAGTTACCGAAGGAGGAGGAGTAGTTACCGAAGGAGGAAGATGAGTTACCGAAGGAGGAGGAGGAGTTACCAAAGGAGGTGGCGGATGAGTAGTTACCAAAGGAGGAGAAGTAGTTACTGGAAGAGGATGATGAGTCACTAATAGTTACCGAAGGAGGATGAGTAGTTACCAGAGGAGGATGATGAGTTATGGAAGGAGGAGGAGTAGTTACTAGATGAGGATGTCGTTTTTTTTAAGGAGGATGAGTAGTAGTTGTCAGAGGAGGAGGTTGAGTTACTGAAGGAGGAGGAATAGTTACCAGAGGAGGAGGAGGAGTTATCGAAGGAGGATGAGTAGTAGTTGCCGGAGGAGGAGGAGGAGTTACGGAAGGAGGATGAGTAGTTACCGGAGGAGGAGAATGAGTTACCGAAGGAGGATGAGTAGTTACCGAAGGAGGAGGAGGAGTTACCGGAAGAGGAGGAGGAGTTACCAAAAGAGGAGGCGGATGAGTAGTTACTAGAGGAGGAAAAGTAGTTACCGGAAGAGGATGAGGAGTTACTAGAAGGGAGTTTTCAGCGGAGATCACATCGGAGATCCCAGAGGAGAAGTATGAGAGGTGATTGTTTTTTTTTAATGTTACTTTTTTAATTATGAGATAATTGAATTTTTTTTATATATTTGTTTTCAGCTTCTTTTATTTTAGGAAATTAAAGTGTCTTTTAGTTGTTAGTTACCAGAAGAGGAGGATGAGTTACCGAAGGAGGAGGAGTAGTTACCAGAGGAGGAGGATGAGTTACCGAAGGAGGAGTAGTAGTTACCAGAAGAGGATGATTAGTTACCGAAGGAGGAGAAGTAGTTACAAGAGGAGAATGATGAGTAGTTACTGGAGGAGGAGGAGGAGTTACCGAATGAGAAGGAGTAGTTACCAGAGAAGTTGTGCTCATTGTAATTTGTTCATTCATAATAATTTATGTTAATTCTCAAGGTCGTCTGGGTATAATCTTCGGAGGCCACGCTTCTTCCCACTAATCCAAGGGTATTTTGGTCGTTTTTGGGAAGATGAACTCTCCTCACTTTACTCCTAGCTCCCCAATCTTTTTGTTTTTTTGTTTGTTCTTTGTTTTGTATTTTTTTAAATAAAAAATTTATATTTAAAATCTATGCACTCCCATTGGTTGACCTAACA